AAGTATGCCTCTGGTTCGGTTTCAGGTGCGGAATGAGTTTGCCTTGGGCCAACCGGAGCTTTACAAGGAAGCTGACCGGGAGGATCCTAAAGCTGTGCTCGACGGCTTCGCTGTTGCTGGCCTCGTCGGGATCTTGCGCCAATTAGGCGATCTTGCTGAGTATGTTTCTACTTCAAATTTCGTTATTTTCTACTGTTTCTTGAAATCCGGAGAGTTTTGTTGAGTTTGTTGTTCCCTGCGTGTTGAGCTCTGAAAAATATTGAGGATCAATTGGAGTAAAAAGCAAAAGAATTTGCAGAAACTAAAGCTATCATTTTTCTATAATTTTTTTAAAGAAATTAAGGGAAATTGCTTATTGGTTGTCTACGTGTAGCAAATGCTGATATGAATTCGCTTGCAGACTGACTTTGAGTAAGTTGTATTAATTGACAGAATTTGTGCTAGTTTCTCTAGATTCTAATCATCCAATTTTAGGTAATGTTTAATCGAGCTAGGAGTTTTTAGGTCATTGTGTGATTAAGCTAGGCAGAAGATCTATTTGCTTGCTCTTAAATACACTCTCTCTGGTTTTGAATATATAGTTACTTGCATTGTTTCCCTTCTTTCCTTTCCTGATTTTAGTCATTTCTGTCATATAATTTAATGAGCTTGAAAATGAATATTTGAGTAGTTGAGCATGTTAAGGAGGTGATAAATTAGTGGCATTCCTAATTTTTTGGCTAATGACTAAGGTAATAGGGGTTTAGAATTAAGCTTTGTTCTGGGTTAATAAAATCTTTAGATTTATATTACTGCTGAATGGCTAGATTTGTTCCATCTTCCCTGTGCTTATATTTTGTCCATTCTCAATATGGGGTTTGAAACTGTAATTTCCTCTTATGGATTTCCAATTATAGATGTAAATGGTGATAACTAATTGGGGGTCTTGGGCATTTTGTAGATTTGCTGCAGAGGTTTTTCATGGCTTACAAGAACAAGTGATGACTACAGCATCTAGAAGTCATAAGTTGACCATTCGTGTGCAAAAAATTGAAGCTGCGCTTCCACCCCTTGAGAAGGCTGTTCTTTCCCAAACAAGCCACATACACTTTGCTTACACGGCTGGTATTATCACTTTGCATGCCCTTTTGCCTGATTTTATTGATAGTTATCTTCTTGTTAGGCACTGCTTTTGGTATATCTTGATGCTATGCTGAGGGACTTTGCTTTATTATGTGATGTATTAAACATCCTCTATGGTTTAAAACTTTTTGGCCTTAGGTGGGGAACTTCTTTCATCCCCTTAGCAAGTTTATCCTGGGGAAGAAAAATGAAACCCACCACATCCCCCACCCCCCGCCCCCAAAAAAAAAAAGTAATAATATAAGCTTCCATTCTGGATTCAGTTAAGGCATGATTTTGTATGATTTAAAATCTAAAAAAATTGCATAATTTGTGTTCATTATTTTCGTATTTTACTTATTTAAATAATTTGGGTTTTTTTTAGAAGCTACACAGATATAGATTGAGAAAACATGGAAATATATAAATAGTTTTGGTAAAGTCCAAAATATTTAAGTCTTGTATGGTTTATGGTTTTATCTCACAGGATTCTGGTTAACCATGCACTTTCCGTACAAAACACACTATTGGAAATATAAGCATGTAAGGGAGATACTTATATCTTGTGGGAAGTTCAACACTGGAGCTTATGTATTAACTGTTAATTCTTTCGTGCTCTATGAATCTTTAAATGATTCAAATCTTTACAGAAAGCAGTTATCTTTCAGGTACTGAGTGGCATCCTCGTATTCAAAATGAAAAGAATCATTTTATCAACAATGACTTGCCACAATTTATGATGGATTCATACGAAGATTGTCGTGGTCCTCCCCGTTTTCACTTGCTTGACAAGTATGTTTAACAATCACCTACTATTATGTTTAACAAATAATTAGTATGGGAGGAACTGTGAATTATTATTGCCAGAGGGAGGTGGGGGCAGCACAGTCCTCACTAGCTCCCTATTTCCTCCAGTTAAGTGTGCTTAATTTATGAATTCTGAATTTTGGCCGTGGATGCTGATATCTATTTCCTTTGTGGCAGGTTTGATATGGGTGGCCCAGGATCTTGTCTAAAGAGATATTCTGATCCTACTTTCTTTAAGAAAGCATCAGGTATCGAAGGAAATGCTGACAAAGTCCAGAGGGATAAGAAGGCTCGCAAAAGCAAGGTATGCGTAATTAACCACTTCTTTTATAGAATGTTAAAAAAATCATTGTATACATATTTTTAATCAGATGTCAAATTCCATGTTCTACATGCCTAGTTTGTGGAGGTTGATTTGCAATATATTTTTAATCAGGCTTAGTTTTCATTTATATTGCACACAATTACCTGGATTTTTTTCAATATGTAATAAAACTAAGTGAGTGTCTAAATGGACAGAAAAGAAGGTCATCTCTAAGAAATGGGGAACTATCATGTGCAGCATCAATATGCACTCGCAGTGGCAGGTATATGCATACCTGATCTATTACACACATGAAATAATACACATAAACAGAAGATAGAGAATATTCCACTCAATTTGGTTTGGCTGACTTGTTGATATTTTGACCATGCAGAATGCAGTTTGCTTCTCCAGTTGTTAACGAGCATGCCACAACTTCTCTAACTGCCTCTGTATTAGACATGGAAATGAAATATGATATGTGGGAGCATTCAAACTCTTTTGATTTAGGAGCTGGGTCTAGTTTTATTGACTGTGTTTTCGATGTCAGTTCCTCCATGCAGCCTGAACAACAGGAATCCAAAGGTGCATCATCAAGTTTGGTGCAAAACACTGCTGAAAACCCTTCTAAAGATTTTCTTGTTCAACAGCCTCAGGTTGTAGGTAACTTTTCAGATAGTTCATCACAAGAGCAGATTGCCCAGAGTTCATCTTGTGTTACTTGGGATGAGAAGGCAGAAATAGTGGAGTCCAGAGGCAGGCATTTTGATATAAATGAAGTTCCAGAGACAAACTTTGATTTAGATATGCAAGACAGAGAACTTGCCAATCTTAGACAGGTTGATCAGATGGATATCCTACTCAATGGTACAGATGCGCTTGAATCAGCCTCTATCAGGGACCTGGTTGATGAAATTGAAAGTGAAACAGACAATTATGTGGATGCGCTCAACACTATTGAATCAGAATCTGAAATTGATACAGAGTGCCAAACAAAACGAGAAGTGGACCACTATTCTAGTGATGTTAACAATGAAAATAGAGAAGATGGGATGAATGTGCTTAAGGTGAATAACGATGAGCATCAGCCATCTGAAATTGAATTCGATGCTGCATCTAACATTTTATCAAACGATGGACTGTCAAGAAGTTTAGCTGACTCAGTCACATCTGAGAGTTTGGCTGGTGAACAGATACCTCCGTTCTCTTGTAAGTCTTTTGATTTAGACTACTCTCCTGACACTGGTTTATTTGTGAATGCTGAAATTCTTCAAGGTTCAAAAGCACAATCTGTCACAGGTGATCCATCCTCTGGTTCTAGAGTTACCAATTTACAGGGTCAACCATGTGATACAATGATAGAGAGTGTCCAAGAGCTTCCCAAGCCTCATCCTGACATTCCCAGTGTTCCTTCAATTAAGGATGACGGTGAAATTCTTCAAGGTTCAAAAGTAGAATCTGTTGCAACTGATCCATCACCTTCTGGTTCTAGAGTTACCAATTCTCAGGATAAAACCTGTGATGTGATGGGAGCTAGTGTCTATGAGTCTCCAAAGGCTCACCCTGAAATTTCCAGTGTTCCTTCAGTTAAGATATGGACCAACGGTGGTCTTCTGGGACTTGCTCCATCAAAACCTCCTGATTTTTCTGTAACTAGTGCTGCAGGTTTGAATTCTACATCAAAAAGTGGTGACACAGTTGGTCCGCCAACTGACATGTCAACATCTGAGAGTGATGGGCTGAAAGAAAAACAAGGTACATCTGTCAGGGGTACTGAAAATACTGGAAAGCCTTCAGGTTCCAGTACCTCCAATGCTTCAGTTCCATCAGCCAATTTAGATGCCAACATTGAAAAACGTGATAATTCTCAATGCTGCGATAGTCCCGATGGTGCTTATGATGGAGGTCCAAGTCTGAATGCAGTTATACCCAATGGAAACAAGCTGCAAGTCAATTCTACTGTCAACTCGAAATCTTTTGAATCTGATCAGGGGAAAAATGACATGGCAATGTTTGGACTGGGCCACAGATTACTTGTAAATGGCTTCCGCAGAAATCTGTCACTTAATAATGACATTGAGTCTGAACCAGCAAACTCTCAGAAAGCTTGTCTATTGGATCAGAAGAGTGCAGAGCAGAGCTTGTCATATCAAAAAATTTTCAAAGAGCAGTTTGGAAGTAGATCTCCTGCAAACTCACTGACTTCTTCTCCACCACTTGAGCTTATGAAAATATCTTTCAATCCTATGGATGGATTTGAGACTTCTAAGCTCAAATTGAAGTTTCCTGATGGGATTCATTCCCATGAAAGCAATAGAGATATGTTTCCTTCATTTCAGTTGGTCCCAGAACCTGTCATTCCACTGCGTGATGTTGCTTCAGACTCTGACGATGATACCTTCTGTAGATCATCTCCTTACTTATCTGATGATTGCCTCAGCAATTACTCTGAGTCAAACTCCGAGCAGTGGGAATCCGGCGAAACCCCTGAACAGAGTGACCCTGACCCTGAGTTATATGATGCTTTAAGCAGAATGTCATCTCTGGAAGCAGTTTCAAGCTCTTTGCATGTTGGAAAAGCAGCCAACAATGGCATTTATATTAATAGAGGATTTAAACCTGTAGCTTCTGACAATGGGACAGAACCTTCTATTCCTGTTGCTTCACTTGATCTCCCAAGTTTTGATGCCATCAACCAAGCAGCACCAGAAGAAACCAGTAACAACACTACTCCAAATAACTTATCAGAAGTGCAAAATTCTAGGGAGCCAGAGCCCATGCCGGTACCGCCACCCCTTCCCCCTGCACAATGGTGGGGTTCAACACCTGGCTTGGATATAGCAGATGGAAGACAGAAGACATTATCGGAATCTCTCAGACATGAGTTTGATCTGAAACTCCTGGGTTCTACCGTCTCCCATATACCTAATCCAGCCTCATCTAATCAACAGAAAATTAATGAAGAGGCAGCTGCATTTAAGTTAGAGAACAAGGTATTTTTGCAGTCTTGTTACCCTTTTCAAGAAAAAAAGAATGTATTAAAGAAAATAGTGGAAATATGAAGTGCTTATGTATTTCTTTTGGCCTACTATGAACTATGAAGTGCTTATGTATATATCACTGAATCCATGCATGCGGCAGCTGGAGCAGCAGAAGTCAAATGGCCAGAGAGGAGCTAACCAGGCTGTGAACAGTAAGGCGATGGATGCAATGGATGAAAAGGAAGACTTCTTGAATCAAATAAGAACAAAAGTAAACATCCAACCTTATCTAAACGAGTTGCTTTCTGCCACCACAGTGAATACTCAGTCTCAAAACTTAGGTGGTTTGATTCATTCTATATTGCATGCCTAGTATTATTTTGAGATAATGGTTTCTATAGCATTTGAAGGTCAATTTTATTGAATAGGCAATAACTCAGAGAAATAACAAACTGCTCTGTGAATGTCTTTTGTTTGCACCATAACTGGTTTTTAAATATCTTTCTAGTTTGAGAACACTAATTTGATCTCCCACAAGTAGATTCATGTTTGAATGAGTATGCACAAACTAGTGTCAATTCATTTAGGTTGATCATGTTTCATGTTCTTTATTTTATTATCTTGATGGAATGATACAATTATCTGGTCTTCATCTTCTTCCGTGCTTTAATTACTAATTACCTTTAGTGCATTGTCATGAACTATAAATATATCACAGTTATACAATGAGGGGGTTTATTGTAGTTAACCTGTACATTCTTCTTTATTGTTTCAGTCATTTAACCTGAGACCAACAGCCACTGAAAAACCAACTGTCAAATCAGGTCCAACTGCTAATGTCAAAGTAACTGCAATTTTGCAGAAAGCAAATGCCATCCGCCAGGTTTGTAATATTTCTATTTTTGTTTTGCTTTTCGTGGCTCTCTTATAAATCACAATATCCAATTGACAACTTGTGCACTTTTCAGGCTGTTGGGAGTGATGATGGTGAAGATGATAACTGGAGTGACACATGATTTTCTGTAACATGATGGGAAGCAAATTCTCTTTGGATGCAAACTTAGGGGAGGCTGTTTAACTATGTGAATAATCTCCGTTTTTCCTTCCTTGTAATTAATTTTGTAGGCCTCATATTTTGTATCTTTGTGATTATTTGCATTCATTTCTTAAATAGTTCAATTCATGTTATGAACAAGAAGACATATTCAGGTCAGTCATGATGTAAACCGCATAAAAAATGATTAATGCCTAAGAATATGATAGTTTTATTAGTTATGTAATTATATTATGGCTCTGAATTTTCTTCCGTGGGTTTTTGTTTGCGCTCATAATGTATCAAATTCCTTATCTGATGAAACTTTAGATTTGAGGGAGAGGGAAAAAGGTAGGAGAGAAAAAGACCAATAGCTTTACTAAACCAATGATTAAAGTATGACAATTTCATTTTTCTTGTTTACTTTCTAATCCTCCACAGCCTCTGAATTCTCTGAAAAATAGGACAAATTGTAAGCTGTTGAGAATTGACAAAAGGGAATTTTAAAGTACTTGTTGAACGGGGTTTTTAGTACTTTATACTCAATACTACTAGTTAATCCTTATATTGCTTTGGAAAGGTCAAGATTTAGTTGTGGGGTGAGCAATTTAATAAACCCCTGTATTATGTTATTCATAATCCTTAGTAATTAAGATGAAGAAAACTTTGAAGTATACCATTGAGGCTAATCTTTGGAATCTGTTGACATAATGGAGATTGCTCTCATCACTCCGCCACTGCAAATGTTTAGTGTAAGATAAGGTACACGTCAAGAATATGTCCCACATTATTTCTTTTTTCTTTCAACGAATAATAAGGGGAATGAGATTAAATCACGAATAAAGAAACTCCTAGATAATGTTGACAAATTGATGCTTAAATTTCTGGGAATATGATCCTAATTTCAAACCCGAAGCTGCAGATTCTCTTGCCTGGCAAATGCCCATGTTAGCAAGTTGCAAATGCAAGTAGCTTATTCCAACCAGAAATCACCATCTCAAAATAATATTAGGTATTCCGTATTGCAATGGTGTGGTGATTCTGTATATTTAAATCAAAAATGATTTATTGACAATGTTTGTTAATAATAATTTTTTTTATTCGCTCTTTTTGCTCTACAAAACATGTGAATTAGTGTGTAACTAATTGTCAGATAATTGTTTTTATTAACTCTATAAAATATGTAAATCAGTATGGAATTAATCGTCAAATATCATGTTGCTATTGTTGCATCAATGAATCATTGTGGTATGTAAAATATACAAATCCTCTAGTTCTCTTCACTATCCAAAACGAAAAGAAGAAAAAAAAAAAAAAAGAAGAAGAAAAAGGAGAAGGGAAAAAAGAGGATTTAGATGAACTTTAGCAGACACGGTTGTCCATCCTTAAGAGTTAAGAACCTTCATGTGTTCACAAGTAACCCGGCCATAAAACTTTTTGACATCTTAATAAAGCTTGCACTGAACTCAGAACAAATGTCTTTTTCTTCTCATTTAGCTAACGTTCCTTGCGTTGTGTCTGAATCTGAACATCTTGGTTCCCACGTTTTGACAAGAATCTAGGAAAAAATTAAAAATAAAATACATACATCCAGATGCAGGAAGCTGTTTCATCTAATAATTATCTCCTGTAAATCGCTTTATTATATTAAATAATCTGGTTTTGGGTTGGTAAAACATAGCTTTCCAACTTGCATTTATGATGAACAAGAGGGGGGCAAGAAGATTAGAAATTAATTAATTAAATAACCGTATTTCTGATTTCTATCCTGTTAAAAAGAGAGGGTAGAAGACTTGTTCACTAACTTCTTTAGAACAACTTGATAGCGAAGACCACAACAAGAAGCAACAATCTGCTTAAAAGTCACACATCCCAGATATATAATATTATATCTCGATGAACTTGATTAGGGCAGCCCCTATTTGTTTGTTTTTAGAGAGTATCTTGAAATTTTAGACCCTTTGATTTTCAAAGGAAATTGAGCCATTAATTCGTTGGCACAAATAGAGGTTTAGTACATAGTCATGTGAAAGTTTACCTCTCCATCAAGAAAGATAGATTACACTTACATAAGTTTGAAAATTTTGTCAAAAGTTATCTTTTTGTGACTTTTTTTTAAAGGTTTTTTTCCACTTATGTTTTAAGAATATAATAAATATATTTTTCATTATAAATTAGTATATAAAAAAATTAAAAATTTGATATTAATTTTAATATTAATGTTACATAAATGAATTTAATTAGATAGTTAATAAATTAAAAATTAATTTTTATATTTTAATATAAATTTATGATTAAAAAATATATTTATTATATTTTTAATCTGTGAATAAAGGTCAGAAGAATTCTTTTAAAAGAAAAAAAAAAATCAAACTTTTATGAAAAGAGCAGGTTGCAAATCCTCTTATGAAATGCCTAAAATACCTCTCCAAAATAGATAAGATGAGGTGCCCTAAGAAAAAACAAGGGTGTGGCCATGAAGAGTACTTTTAATTTGTTGTTTAATCTTCTCTATATATTCTGTGGAATTTTAAAAGGGAGACTTCGAAAGCATCCTAAAGAAAAAGTACATCTCTTTTTTCCCTAGTGAAAAAGAAAAGAAAAGAAAATGCTTCTTTGTCTACGTATTATATTGGAAAAGGCATCGAAAATGGGGTTACTTTCCTCAATAATTAAGTTAGATTCCTTTCTTAAGGATTAATTAGCAGTAAACAAATCCCATTTTTAATTAAACTAATCTCTATTGGAATTGCAATTGAAAGCATCCCAACAAAACCTATTAAGTAATGAAAGAAGAAAGAAAGCAACAAAGTCTTCTTTTCTCAATGCACAAAACGCAGAATGGATCTTATAATTAACTTCCTCCAATTCATTTCATCAAGTATTATATTAAGATATACTAATCATTTAGATTACAGTCTTACAGTAAAATTATTAAAATGAAACTAAAAAATTTACACAAAACTGAAATATTAGAATTTAAAATTTATAGGAAACGGGATCTCGACGTTACTATTAAATTAAGTTAAAGCTTCATTCTCAAAAGGTTATGAATAAAGACATTGAGACTTTTTTTGCTTTCATTTTGATTGAAAATTAAGAAAATGCTTTTTGAGATTTGAAACATGAAAAAGATGAAAAAGATATGGCATGCATTAAGGAAAAAGGTATTGGCAAAACCATAATCAGCATCCAACTTTAAGGACTAATATAAACCCCAAAAATTGCCCTATGTAAAATCAATGAACATGACCCACACCACACTGTTCTTTTCTATGTGATCTTTTATAAAGTTTTTTTTTATATGTCAAAGTGATTGGTGACCTGATAGGAAGCAAGCTAGCTCACTTGTGGAATCTGACTAATTTAAAGCATTTGGAAAGTATCTCTCCATAACTTTTTCTTTATGTTTATCTCTTTATAAAAAAATTAATTTGGAATTTGGATTGTACTAAATTGAATAATAAAAAATTATTGGATAAGAGATGAGTTTCTTGATATTAAGGAGCTCTCTCCTCATCCAATTATTTTTGTTTTATATACTAAATTATACAATAAAAAACTCTAATTTTACTGAAATAGAAAATATTATAATGTAATTTAATTTGACTTACACAAATTATATTATTTTTAGAGATAGGCTTTCAATGTTAGGAGCTGTGCCCCTCAATCAATGATTTTCATTAGGATATATTAAACCTTTTGAAGAGAAAAAATTAATAATCATCTCATAGAATTGGAACCGAATTTTAGCACAATAAGCACAAAGAGAGAAAAGTGCTCAAGAGAGCACCAATTCTTATGCTTTTGAAACACAAGCTTCCTTCCATCAACTCAATCAAGAATCCATTGTTTGAAAGCGAAAATTTTTCTAAAAATACTTTCTAAGAATTAAGTTTATACTTTTGAATTTTAAAAAAACTTCGAACTTTACTTGATTTAACCATGTAAAAAAAAATTTATAATTGATAATTGATATTTTATAATTACTAATTATTCTTATCTACACTTCTATTCATCTAATTAAAGAAAATGGTTGTTCTTTACCCCACTAACCCAAACATGAATGAGGCAAAACAAGTAACAACTAGCAAGCATACATTAACAAATCAATTAAAAATAAATCAAACCTTGTGGAATAATACCACATTTTTTAAATTTTTTTCAAAAGTAAGTAATTAATCCAAAATTCAAGCAAACTTTTTTCTATTGATGGTGGGGGGTTAGAAAGAAATGGAAGGAAAGTAGGAAGGATTTAGCTTTATCTTCTTTTTTCTTTTTTTCTTTTTTTCTTTTCACTTTATTAGATAGAATATAGATAAACTACACCCCAAATTTCCCCCATCACTTTTGACACTTTGTACGCGACCCACCTGGATCGGGCCCCACTTTTTAGACTTTTTTAACACTGCATGTTGGTGACGTGGAGTAATGATGTGGACAAAAAAAAGGCTCATCATCAGCTTTTCCGGCATGGTTTTTTCGTCTCACGGCATTTAGTTACGGCCATACAAATGGTATAATAAGTGTATTTATTTTTATTGATTTTGTTAATTTATAATTTTATATTTAATTTTAATATTTAAAAATATTAATTTATAAATTAATTTTAAGAGGTTAATGTTTTTGAAATAAATCGGTAAAAAATTAAATTAAATTTTTTTTAAAATTATAAATAGTAATAAATAAAATTGTTTTTAAACTATTTTCATTTGAAAACGATTATAAGGTACAGGAGAGTCATGGCAGCCACGCTGTTTGAAGCCATAGTGCCATACCTGTTTCTACGGAGGGCAGAAAAGGAGATTTAGGAGAAACAGTGAG